ATTTATAAGGGAAATCATTTCTCTTTCTTTTAATTATTATATTTTCTGTCTTTTATCAAAAAAGGCTTTTTTATTTTAAACGAACAATTCTCGTGTAATAAATGTGCAAAACAAATTTTTCATTGGTAAAAAACTTATTTAGCATTAATCCGATATTTTTCTTATTACTACAGCGGAAATAAACAAGGAAATTAAAAAGTGTATCTGTTACCGCTAAAGCTCGAAATCCGTTAATGTGCGCATTACCTAGCTATTCTGCAGATTAACTAGAGTGATCCGTTAAAGCTGCGAAAATTATTCCATTTCTCAAATTACCTAGGTAATCTGCAAATTATCTAGGTAATTTGCAAATTACCTACTAGGCAGTCGGTAAAGTGAAAATAAGATTTTTGCTGGAACAACAGCAACGTTTCTGTACGCTTAAATTAACATAATGTTATTTATTTAATTTTCAATATCTAAAGAATCAAGTTAATACAATCAACAAATTAGTTGATTGAATCAATCATCAATCAATTAAAAAAANATACGCATTCTAATATGGCAATAGGTAAAAAAACGACGTCCATGATTTTTACATTTCTGGACTCACGACACATTAGAACGTAGAAAAATGCAGAAAATAATAACATAAATAAAAAGCATTGTTGAGTTTTTCTGTCTTTTAGTGTAGGCGTGTATGTAGGAACGATTTTTTTCACCCTCTTTGAAACTCTTGTGCTTTCTATCAAAAATTTATGAAATTTGGCAGGGACTTTTGTTTATTAGAGGGATATTAAATTTTAGTGGTTAAAGACGAAGAAGTGGGAAAATAATAGTATCGCCCTCGGGATTAAAACAATTATTTAACTCGTTAAGAGCATTTAAATTTTTTTATAAAACCCATCCGTACTTTCAAATTTAAACTTCTTACAATTTTATAATGCAGTAGTTACAAATGTAAAAACTTTTTCATAAAATATCATATCAGATGGCGCCACCAAATTTTGCCCGCAAAGTTATGCAACTCGATATTGAATTTTCCTCTTAGCGCAGTGTTGCTTCGGATTTGATTCAATTAACTTTGGATGCTTCTTTTTGCTTTTTCTTTGTTGAAACAAAATAGAACTAAATAGAAAAACATGTTCACATTCTCCAATACTTTGAACCGGTTTACAAATTCAAGTAATAATTTTTGAATATTTGAAAAATAAATTTTAGAAGCTCAACCTTATTATTATTATTGTGTTGGGTTTAGTAAACTTATTGTTAAAATAAAATTAATTAAGATTTGTGATCAGAAAATTTATTTAATTAAACTTTGTGTTAAGATTTCTCTTAAATAAACTTTGCCTTATTGTTTCAATATATTTTATGAAAAATAAAGAAATGAAATGAATTGAGAAGTTTTCTAAATACTAAAATTATTATTGCTGATCATTTGATCTGAAATTATTATATCTGAAATGATTATTGCACATTTTCAAAATAATTTTAGTGTTATATTATTTCAAACTGTCATGTACCCGAATATTAAGACAAATATCCATCAAGAAAATAATTAATTCTAGTATTGATAATAAAACTATTATTCGACAAATTATTTGAAATCTTAATTTATAAAAGATCAGAAATTAGACCATGAGTATGTCATGTTTTAGATAAAGTGAATGAAAAAACTGGAAAAGATTAAATAAAATAAAACTTATTTGATCTATTCGTGTAAAAATAAAAACAAAATTATTTTGGTGTTATATTATTTCATACAATTATTGTGCTTTAATTTTATTCCATATTAAAACATTTAATACTTTCATATTTTAAAAATTTACTTGAATATTCTTAACATTCGGATCATTTCCTTTCAATAAAAATTACTTTTGTAATTATAAAAATTAATTTTGTGTTTAGTGCCACTCAAATTTATTTAGGAAATTCATTGAAAAATTAATTTTGTGATCTGAAATAATTCTATTTAACAAATTTTTATTTGCAATTTACTCAAGAAATTAATTTTGTGATCAAAGCTGTCCAAACCACTACTACTGACACTTATTCAAAGCATTCTCTACCAATTTATTATGAAAACTGATTACAAATGGAAATGTTGAATGCCCTAATTCGTCTTAAACCACAAGAACATCTAATTAAAGAAGGAAAAGTATGTGGTATTTATAAAAATAATATAAAATTACTTATTCGCCGCATGTAATGTAAGCATTTAACCTATAACAAGACTAATTTTTTAAAATAATTTCATTGTTTTATATGGATTTTACATCTATTTCGAGTTAAATTAATACACAACAACGAAATTAACATTATCCACGCTGATTTTAAACGATAAACTCGAATTACAATTTAATAAGCATTATTTTGTACGGAAGCATTAAAAATACATGAGTAAATTGAAGAATAACGTAAAACTTTATTTTTTAGTATAATACAATTTACAAATTTAAAAGTCCGTACACCGTAATATTACGAAAAAACTTAGATCGAAACATACAATGTTAACTAATTTACTTAAATTTAATTAATTATACAACTGTCGATACGCTCGCCTTTATCCGTTTCCTCATAGAAGACTCGTACACTTAATCCTGTAAATATTTCGAGAGCCATTATTATTCGAAAAGTAGGGTATCGTTGAACTCGTCTCAATCCCGAGTTCAAATATATATTCAAAGTCCCGAAATTTCGTAGGAATTAATCTATAGTACAGCCGAAAATTAGGTCACGCGTGAGATTGTCGACGTAGAGTGTCGGCTTTTCCAAAGTGCAGCTGATTCTCTCGGGGAAATGACATTTACAGAGTTATGCTTCTTTTTCCCGATGCGTGCCTATGATAAATATTGTTTTTAAAATTAAATATCGGTCAACGAAGATAATATATGTAATGAATCTGAAGTGCGTATAAAAAGTAAGCAATCCTTTCAAGGAATATTTAATGAATCTACGCTTTCTCAATTTGTTTTAATTATTTGGGTGTAGTGGATATATTGGAAAATCTTTTAGCTATATTTTAGCTAGGTTTGTCAAAAATAATGCTGATTTGTTGCTTAAATATGTATCGATAAACAAAACATCAATAAGTCTAGGAGGTGTTTCATAAAAAACTGTAAAAATCATAATATTTACACCTGACAAATTCTGTAATTGAAATTTCCCGTGTTTGAACGCTTTAATGAACACTTTCTTATAAATTGTTATTATTTATCATTTGCTCTTATTGAAATTAATTTTTATACTTTAAATAATTATAATGTTTGAAATATTAATTTTGTATACTTTTTTGGGCATTTTGACTACAAATTATATTATAAAATGCATAATTATTGCATAATAAAACAGTAAATTTAGAATAAATGAATAATGGACTCATCAATAATTAAACAATACTTTTTGTACAGAAAATTCGAAAATGGAAGTAACATTCTTTTATTCAGAAAAATTATCAATAAATCTGTAATTTTTACAACAAGATTTTGTTATGCTATAAAAGGTCCCGAGCCCAAAAATAGAAAAATTTAAAACGGGGTTATTTTTATTATATTTTACACCATACGGAAACAGATTATGAGCCATTACACCCGCCTTGGGATAAAATGGTTAGTTTGACAATGTCAGTTCAAGAACTTTACAATAATTTAACTTTGTCACAAAGAGCCAACCCTTAAATGACAATTTCTGTGTTAACAAAACTTTGTAGAAAAATAAAATGAGGAAATATTTAGCCTTTTGTTTTATTTCTATTAGTGTTGTAACGAATAGTATATTCGGCCTCAGGCCGAATACCGAATATTCGGCCAGGAGCGTGGCCGAATAGCCGAATATTCGGCCAAACTATTCGGCTCGATTAACGCACGTACGAAAATTGGCGCACAAACCGCATTATGGCAAGGATCCTGCTCTCTATTGGCCCGCTGTCACTACGCTTCGCCAATCGCGTTAATTCTTGGCAGTTGTAGCGGACAGACAAGAGTGTCATGGAAGTATGTGATAAATGATGATATCAAATGTGGATAACAATGAAATGACCTACACGTGTAAATAACGGAAAAAGAACAGAGAAGGACCGCGAAGTGAAAATGTGAAAATAAATATGAAATTGAGTTGATAACATAATCGAACAAGTCGAGGCAGCTTATTGGCACGAAATTCGCGGCCGTCAATGCCAAACAATTGTTGTCATAGACTTCGGAAAGCTAAATGCTTGTAATGAAAGTCACTTAGCGTGCACGGGCGAAAGCCTGGGGCCGTTCGGGCTATCAAGCTGTCTCGAATCTGTGAAATCATAACTGTGACTTATATCGACGTCCTATCTGTCTCTTTTCTCCGTTATCACCAGGCTGAGTCACGTAATTGTAAAATGGGAACTCTACGACGGAAAAGTGACGAATCGAAAGTATCGTGAGCGCGTATTATGATGTATGCACAGGCATACATGGATTAGAGCGATAGAGGAAAGAGAAAGGGAAGAGCAAAGACGAGCGCTTAAAAAGAAGGATAGGCAGGGTCAGACCCTCAGATGTGCGAGGATTCTCCAACGATAGACGTGTACGTGTGCTGATCTCAGTAATTATAAATTGTGAATACATGTGACTAATATTATTTTCTTTTTTATTTTGTGCATGTTACAAGTTATAAATAAATATAAACAAACAACACTAACTCGATAACATTAAATCTAAATAACAAAATGATTGATTTACTGTGTTTTTGTTATTTATTACTCCTGTTTTTAGATATTCGGTATTCGGCCGAATAGTGAAAAATAGGCCGAATAGGCCGAATACCGAATAGTAATCGAATATTCGTTACATCACTAATTTCTATTTTGATTTTAAACTATTAATTTCTACGAATGTGTTAAGGAGTCCGACTTTCTTACTTACGTGAATTATATTTAAAAAATTGAAAATATTTGAAATCGTGTATATAAAGGTCGAAATTATTTATTTTATTAGTTAAATATATTATTTTTTATTTTTCTGTTTTCAATTTTTTTGAATTTGAACATATCTATTCTATTTACGCCAATGTTCCAATTTTCACGTAAAGCCTGAGAATGACCTAGAGTAGGTGGAAGACGTTAGTTTTCAGTAAAACTATCTCGGCAACAAGAGAGGTGTGTTGTAATAAGCTACATAATCTTTTTTTATTATGAATTGTAAAATTTATAGGTCTACAAATTTTTCAAATTGAGCCCAATAAATTCCCACAGTCGTCTTTCCTTAACCTCGAGAAAGCAGTCAGAAAGATGAGAGCCGATAGAAGATATGAAACGTGTATGAGTAGTGAGACCCGATTAACTATACAGATAGTGTAAAGTATTGGCTTATAAATGGTAAGGGAACAAAGGAAACGCCGACCTGGCTAATTGGATTCAAGGGTTGTCCGGTGGAAAACACCTGGCAGTAAACAAGTGGGTGACCACCCACATCGGAGAAGGACAGACGCGAAGGTATTCTTTTACCTCATCCGATTCGAGCTGTCCTGAGTGAAATCTGTTCGCAAGGGCAATCGGTAATTATTGGGAAGTTCTCGTCCAAAAATCCTTAAATTGGGATGCGAGCGGGAGAGAATACGAGAAAAACTGGAGACTAGTAACACGGAAGTCTCAGATACTTGGAAAGCACGCTGGGTTAAAGAGAAAGAGAGCCAGCATACTCCTCTGCGAGATATCTCGGGAACGGGTAAGTGCCAAGACGGGAGAAATCGAGAAATAGAGTTACTCTACAAACTAATACAATCTCAAGAACTTAATTGTTTCCGAATGCCAAACTATTACGCGAGGCACCAGGCTTTGTGTATCCTGTATTTCTTGTGTTTTCCAACTCGTACAGTCTATATAGGGGAAACCGGGGCAACTTCGGCACACGGGGCAAGTTTGTCAAGCGCTTATTTTTAAAAACAAATTAAAAGGAGAGTTTGGTTATAGGTTAGGCAGTTGAGTTTTATTGGTGGCTTGTCGAGTGTAGTGTTTTTATTGTTCTCCAACAAGCGTAGTTGAATTATCAAGCAAATTTTCATTTTCGTTCAATTCCATATAATATTTTTTT